CGTCAGTCAGTCAGTCGGTCGGTTCGTCAGTCGGTCGGTCGCAGGTCCGCAGGACGGATTCCTCAGTGCCCAGCGTTCCAGTGCTGTGTCCCCGCACCGCCACCGGAGTCGCATCGCCGCTGTCACCGCGCGCACAGGACATCATGCTGCTGCTCAAAGCCATCTTCGGCCCGGTGAGGCGAGATGTGTGGCGGGGAGCTTCTCCCCTCCCCTAAATCGTCCCCTCTTGGACGGAGTTCTTGCAGTGCCCGGGCCGCTGTCCTCTCGCTGGCTCCCGGTCGTCCTGGCAATGTTGACGGGCGATGTCCTGGGTCTCGCCGGAATTATCGAATCGATGAACCTGTCACGGTGAAATATGTAATTACACTAGCATTAATGTGACTACAGCAAGGGCGGGGCGGCCGCGAGCTGAACACGTTGTTCGTTATCTGGGATATCGTGCTCGGCGAAGCTAATGCGCTTTATAATAGCCCAATTTATCATCATCTGAATAAGCTTCAAGAACAAATGCTCCTAGAACGTAACGGTTCAAATTAGAAATATTCGATTTAGTATAAATCTGAATTAATTAAGGGCATACAAGAGTGTTTCACTAGTCAATTAATCAGTTTTAAGAATGTTGCCTACGCAAGCTCTCCGAATTGATGAGCTATTGTTGGCTACCAACATCATCGATTGGATTATCTGATTAGGTGTCATTAAAGTCAATAGCACAAGTCATATGCGTCCTTTGTGAGCTTTCAGCCGAACTATATAAGAATAAGAATGTGTTTAATAATCCTGTTATATGATAATGTGATTTTTTTGTAAAGCTAGTGTAAGACGGACAAATGTCAAAAGGGCCGATGGGTAAACGGTTTTATCTTCTCCATTGAATGAACACATCAATTAAAGCCAAGGTTTCTGAATCATAGTATATTTGGAAATCACCGATCATCATTTCTACAGCATTATGAGCCACGTGTATGTACCTACCTTCCCGGCAGCGCCCGCCCCGGTCGGTGCCTGTACCGCGGTCGGTCGGTCGGACGGGTTTCGGTGAACCGATGGCGGCGGGTCTGGTCGGTTCCAGGAACCGGGTGGCTCTGCAGTGCCGCTGAAATTGAAACTGAAACTGTCCCTCCGGAGAGCGCCGCTTAGCTGGACGCTGGTGGCGCGATAGGATATATGCTGATGCGTCAAAGGCTGACTCTGTTTTACTTGTATTAAAGTGACCATCCCACCTTAACATTAGTTTTGAGTTGAGATAGCCAAATTGGTGGCCATGGCCTGAAAATACCGGTTTGGGCACTCACAACATCGAAAAATGCTTTAATTCGGAGATATAGAATTTCAAACTTGCAGTTTTCGGATTCTAAGGGGCTAATGCATTGGTGTGCCCCCTTAGAATTTGTGACGTCAGCGGAGATCTAACGATTTTTAAATCTTTTACTAAAACGTTTGGTAGCACGCGGTGGTATATGCTGCTTTGCGCGCAACAAATGCCGCACTTTCAAATAAAGTCGCTAGGAACAGCGGAGATCCCAAAAAGTAAACATTAGTAAAAGTCTAATATCTTGAAAACCGGTGAATATTTTTCGATGAAATTTGGTAGATATTCGTTTTCGCTCTTTCTGAACCGAGCGACATCACTTTCATGCCAATTCATTAACATTTTTGAAGGTGGGAGGGTCCCTTTAACCTGTCAAATCATTTTTGTATTGTGATAAAATCCAGCACCGCATGGAACTGGTTTTGAATCCAGACATGAGAGATTTAACTGCGCGTTGGCATTTGTCTGGTCGATGTTTATACTGGGATTTGAATTTGCAGTGCACGGGTGCTAATGTTTGTTTTTGAAAATTTGAATGTCGACGAGTGACATCTTGACACTAGTTAATAACGGCCTGGCTGTGAAAATAATCACCGATGGTTGGACAAACCATAATCTATTTTTTGTGAATTTCAGTTTTATCGAAGCGGTTTGTCAGAGATTGTGAACAATGAAATAATAGATCCATAAAACAGATTTTGCTACTTCAAAGCGCTTTTGATTTTGTGCGCAATAATGAAAAGATACCTTGTTTCTCTTCTCTATTCTTTTTGAGAATGGCCGGCAGAAACTCGGTGGTTTTCGCACTCTTTACGCATTATCTCCACCTTAGTTCACACATTAATCACGGATCGCGCTGAAATCAAACAGCGAAAATATGACACCAAACCCTTGCATAAAAATCACCCGCTCGGGATTGCTCACATTCTTTATATAATGATGTATATTGCAGTTGCACCCATTGTATAACGGCGCCGCTCGGGTGTCTGTGTATTGTTGGCAGCCAGCGTGTCCTGCACTGGGCCGGTTGTGTATATCATTTCTCCCCACCGGCGGGGGTGTCGGTGGGGTGTCCGACTCTGGTCGGCACCAACCCGTGTCCGCCGGTCACGTTCACGGGGCGGTCACATGGGGGCCGTGTTTACTGTAGTGACCGTCACCGGACTCCAGTGGGCGGCTGTGCCCACCGCCGGGGGTACTGCACTGCTGGGTTTACTCAGGGCCAAAACAGGAGTCAGGGGATGGGTAACGCCCTCCCGGCCAGCTGCCACCCGCACTTGCGACACCTTCCTGCGTCGTGTGCTGACATGACTGACGAATGACGATGTTACAAAACCACGGAGGGTCAACATTAGGGTAGATTGTTTGGATTAGGTCAGCGATTTTATCTCATAACGACTAACTGCTTTGGATGTCCACTTCCTTGAGATAAAACCAATCATGGAATGTAAAGTTAACGGATTGTTTTATAAACAAAACATGTTTCTTTTTGCTTCGTATGCCAAAATATTACCATTTCCATGGGGAGGTCGTAACCATGAACTGCCTGTAATTTTCGAAGCACCGTGCTACTGCGCAGTCGATTCGTCCCCAGCCGCTCGTCTGTTTACCAGTTCCTACTCTTTGCAAGGCCAGCGCGGTCCGACCACCACTATGTACCGTGTTACTGCCATCTGGTCAGTGTTGGGCTCAGTCAGGTGGTGTAGTAGTGTGAGGATGGCTGAGTCCACGTGAGCGCTATCCACGCTCCCTGTGCAGTGGCCGGTGCTCCCTGGGAACTTTCCGTCCAGGCCGGCCGCGGGGACGGAGCGGCCCCAGGACTCGGCCCCGCAATGATCCCGGGGGACCGGGACGGTCGGTGTGTTTAGTCGCACACCATGCGTCAGTGCGCAAATATGCTGTTCGGTTTGAATGGCGAAGGTCACATGGCTATAAGTGTCAACGGTCGCGGGGTCATACATTGGCAGGGTACGGCACTGAATAGGGTCAGGTCAGACGTGTCTCCCAAATCACTTAACATTCGCCGTGGCACCTGATCTGGCTTGGTTCATATAGTCTCCCACACGTGTGATGAATGTCCTTTATTGACAAGTCACTAATGATGTAAATAAAATAGTGTCTGGTTAGTGTCTATCATGAGCAGGTGTTCTCTTTGACCTTTTGTACAATATGTGGATAATTACGCCGATGGACTCCATGGTCATGAAGTCTGGAGCTTATCTTCTTATTAAAACAAAGTTCACCTGCAGGTCTCACTGCGTAAATTAAAATATCATCCAGCCCTTGGCCTACATATGGCAGATAACTAAATATCACGCATTCATTCGACATTGGAAATATCAGATAACGTCAGCGTGGGCTCTGGCGGGTGAAAAGTAGGACGTATAATCTTGCAGAACCATGCACCATGACTGGCTTTTGGCGCCTGTCGGTCGAGCGTTCAATCCTCGCCAGTGCGCTTCTGCGAAGGGAAGTCCAGCGACTTGGCGACGTCTGTTTAAGCCGTTGAGTGCTGTTTGAGTGGAAAAACCATCAGTGAGACGTCTGGAGGTCTAGAGGTCATTATGTCCTCGCCTTGGTCTTCGCCTGCCTGGTGAATGGAAAGGGCCTGAATCGGCCACCGCCGGCTCCTGGGTGTGACCTTTGGCCAGTGATGGTGACTGGCCAAACCATGTGGTTCTGTTCGAACCATGTGGCTTTACACAGACCGGATGGTGGGCTGGTGGGAACTGCTTGTCCTTCACAGGGGGGTCATAGCCGATGCGTCGGACGGGCACAGGTCGCACCGGAACCTAGTCACTTCCGGCGGCCACCCCGTCGTGACGTTTTGACAGTTGTGACGACCGCCACAGAACAATAACGCTCAGACGAGCACCAGCCCCCGCCGCTGAAGGTCTCCTGGCGGCCACATGGTCTGCCCATTTCCGCTCCCTTCGTTATCCTCCCACTCCAGTCCTGGTCGGTCGAATCCTGAACTCGGCTCATCACCGATCTTTCCGGATACATTCCTCTCTGACGCCGGACTGTCCCCCGGGACAGTCACGGTGGGAGTGACCCGACCCGGCGGGGACATCTCAGTGCACGAGTCCCCCGCCCACGGGCCACGCGGAGTCCAGCAGGGCCGGGCTGTGGTAGAGCTAGCTGTCTAGTGTGTGTCCCATGGGAGGTCACGTGTAGTCCTAGTCGTGCGTTACCAAGGAAGATGATGTGTGTGGTGATCTCGGTAGAATTAACATTTTTAGACGAGTAAAAATTGATGATCAAGTTTTCTTCTTATAGCTAGTTGTCCGTGCCTGTAAAAGATACAGCTATGTGTGTAGTCACAGTGTAGCAGTATTTGCAGAAGTTTTTCTTTTTCGGAGCCCCTACATATGACGTGTCCCGTCGACAATCACAGTACAAGTATGTAGATGTAGGCAGTTTATCAACTTAACGAGACGAAAGCTTGACAGTTGCTTCATATTCATTTCATCACTATTGCGTACATTCATTGTGATTACGATATAACAATGCGACTCTACATTAAGTGCGATTATCATTTCGTTATGCTGTCGAGTTCCCAATGGTCATTTCATTGCCTAGCTTTGTTCGTAGCGTGTCGTGTCTCTGGTAACCTCTGTGCCCTTCCGTGACCCCATCTGACCCCTGCCGGTGACCCCGTCTGACCTGTGCCGCCGGCTGTTTACAGACCTATGGCCGGGAGCGGGACGGCAGGAGCAGCACAGAGTCGCCGCCCGCCTCGTCACCAAAGTCGCCCCCGCGCCGGACGGCCAACGCCCGGCCCGCCAACAAGAGCGCGCTCATACCCAAGTGAGTGGCCGCCGCCCCCACCCCGTGTGGCTGTGTATACGGTAAAACATGACCCGATGATGGGACACGGTCCAGTGAGTGCTGACAACGCTCCGTCTCCGCGGCTCAGACCGCGCCTTTCTGACGATCTGTCAAATAGTCACCATGCATGAACGATCCCAGATGGCTGTCATCATCATTCGCTCACACGCTTGTTATCTTTGGGAGGTTTACCGACTTCTTCATTCAGCGCTGTGTATAATTAGACACCGTAACTGTGCGTCCCGTCCCGTCCTCTGCGTCTGTGCGCTGTTTTGAGACGCAGCGCGGCCGTCCTCCTCGCCCTGCGTGCTGTGAGATACGTGACGCTGAGTGGCTGCTGATGCCTTCCTGTGTCTCGCTGATGGCTTCCGCGTTGGCGACGGGTCCCGGCGGCCGGGACGGAGCTGCACGAGCCGTCCGAGGTCAGCCGCTTCATTTCACCGCTCGAATATGGCAGGTTGATGTCACCTGTTGTTCCGTACCGTGCCCTGACGGACCGGTCGAGAATCGAATGTTGTCGGCATCATTGAAGGCGGCTGGCCGGACAGCTGACGTTAGTGACGGCTGGAGGAGCTGTCATGGGCCGTACAGGGACGCGCTGTGACCCGTGACGGCCAGTGACAGGTCGTGACAGGCGGCGACGGGTGGTGTCACGCCGCGGCGGGCTTTGTACTGAACCAGAGGTCTGCGCCGGATACACGGTCTGTTGTAGAGCACAGCTGGCTGCACTGGCTGCAGCGGCTCGAGTTGTTTGTCCAGCCGGATGGAGACGACCGTCTCGGCCGGTGACTGCACAAGGTCAAGTTTGCCAGTCCCTCGCAGATAGGGAGGTCTGTGTGCCGACCGTGGCTGAGTGGACTATCCCGGGCTCCTCCCGCCATCTTCTCCTTCTTCTGAACTGACATGAACGTGAACAGCTGTCCTGAGCGGTCCTCAGGAGTCGGGGCTCCTGAGGTCACACTGAGCACTCTGACCTCGGGGTGGCTGGCGGTCACACGGGACACCGCAGCGCGGCTGTAGCGGTCAGACGGAGCGCTGTGACCCGTTCCGGTTCCGATAGTACCGGTATGTGCAGCCGGCGGCGCGGCGGTACGACGCAATAGCCGCCGGCTGGCAGGCCACTGATCGGGGGCGGTGCCGCGTCGAGCCCCCGCATGGTAAACAGAACCGAGCGGCGCCGCCGACGGACCGGCCGGCTGACCGCAGTAGGGTGGGTCACGCCACTCTTACTTTCAATGCAGTGCAGCGGCGCCGGGCGGGGCTGATCAGCCTGTCAGAGGCCCCGACCGGGAGGGCCAGGGACCGGAACAGAGTGATCGGCATCTTCTGAGAGATGTTCGTGGATGGATGTGAGCTATGGACAGTAGGATGTTTTTATGAATCGTACCTATCGCTCTTTCATCATGCTTGTTTTCATCTGTGATTCAAGTGGCTCTCCAATCTATCACATTACTATCACATGGGCTTTGCTTAAAGATGTGCGGCGGCCTTATCTCAGACGGGAGCTGCGGCACTTCATGGAGGGTCTGAGGTCACCTCTTGGTCGTGCAGTGTCCCCAATACCAACCCTGTATACATGTACTGGCGGTTCCCGTGCCGATCCCGGCTGTACCCTCGGCGGCCCCGGCAGTAAACAGGGCCTGCAGGAGAACTCGTGACGGCTGACTCACCACTCGGTCGGTCGCCTGATCGGCCACACTGCCCACAGATCGGTACACAAACCGGTCACCTGATCGGCCACACTGCCTACAGATCGGTACACAAACGACTTACAAGACGCGACGGTGCTGAGGCCTAGTGTCTTCGGCTGTGCAGATGCAGCCAGAGGATCGCAAAAAGGCAGCACAAAGAGCATAAAGCACAATCGTTAGTGTTTGTGCATCGCACGTCCTCGAAGAGCCATGTGAAGAACAGCGTTGTGTTTAGCGCTGTGTTTTAGACGTCAGATGCGTTTGACGCTTCTCAAGTTCGTCGGCCTGCCGCCTGCATAGATCATTACCTACTTTTCTTCGAACTTCAGCTGCTCAAAATGTTGTACTCTGCCATCCGGTCCCGGCACTCTGCGGCCGCTGTGCCGCAGTGTCGAGCGCAGGGCCTGCAGTGTGTCAGCCCCCGCACTGCGCCGGCTGAGTGGATGGACCGACACGCCAGTTAGTCACACTGTTGACAGTTTGAGCGGGCGGTACAGCCGCAGAGGGGTCGTCAGCCGCCGCCGGCCTTCAGCTGATCGGCGTTGGACGGTTCCGCGCCTGTGACGCACTCATCGGCCCGGCTCCATCACGCGGTTACGTATCGCCTCAGCGTGATGGTTTCCCTCCACTGCACACTCCGACCCCGGCCGTACCCGCGTGGACATCGCCTCTTCGTACTTGACCACGCTTGTCCCCACGTGGATCACGTCTATCCTCGAGAAGATCACGGTTTCCCCGCATGGACCACGCCTGTCCTGGCCTGTCCTAACGTGGATCACGCCTTGCCTTCGGGTTTACCACGCCTGTTCTCACGTGTATCACGTCTATCCTCGTGTGGGCCGCGCCCGACCCGGCGCCGATTCAGGTGTCTGTTATGACGGGTCGGTCGGCTGTGACGGCTCTGTTGATCTTCATACAACCACAGCTCTCCTCTTTACATTGTTATGTCTACACTGTGAGGCCCCAGGAGAGATAGATCAAGGCTGACTCTCGAGAACATTATGGTAGTTAGCCTAGGTCCGGCGCTCCCGCTTATGTCTGAGTTATTCGTCGTAGACGCTTTGTGGTTCGCCCTCGAGGCTTTGTGGGTCCAGCCCAACCTTACCTACTTCACCTGGTGAATGCTGCAGATGCAGGTAATGATAGTTGAATCTGCCAAGCCTTAGGGATTGTGTCGCTCCTGTCAGTGTCTGGACTGTAGTGCTCCGAGTGGTCTCCGTTTGACAGAGCCGGACCCGACCTACCTGACCCGCGACCTGCCCTACCCTCCCGTCCCGTCGTGGTCCGACCTGCACTGCCCTGCTGCCGACCCCCTCCCGTGCCGTCGTGGTCCGACCCGCACTGACCTGCTGCCGACCCCCTCCCGTGCCGTCCCGTCGTGGTCCGACCTGCACTGCCCTGCCGCCGACCCTCCCGTCCCGTCCCGGCGTGGTCCGATGTGGGTCACTGCGCTCCGCGCCCAGCGGTGACGGCCGCTCACCGGCCTTGGCGTCCCGGTGCCGGCGGCGGCGGCACGTCCCGGCAGAGCGAGACCTTCGGCGGCGCACTGCGGCCTTCCTGGACGGCCGGTAATGGTGAGCGGACCGAGCCGAGTCCGCCTGTCGCCGGCAGGGAGCAGGGCGACTCAATTAAAACCTCAGAGGGACCGAGCCAACCGATAGACCGACCGGCTGACTGGCCACAACTGGAGGAACTGAGGAACTCGAGCTCTGCTTTGTCGAGTGGGCCACGCCGGGCAGGCTGGCAGGTGACGGCCGCTCCGGGTTTATGGCCCCGCCGCTGACCTTACGTGAGCGGCATCACCGATAGAGGCGAAATGTTTCCGGCATCAAAACCGGACTCTGACGCTGCCGTGGCTGCGGGGAGACTGCTACGGTAGCTCTACTGGCGTCTGGTGTAGCTCTTTAGGTGGCTGCAGCGCCGTGAGCTCACGTGCGAGCTCAAGTGGCTCTGCTTTGTCGATTCATCTTCTAAGGTCAATTGTATTCACTTTCTCCGAACATTATTAGCTCATCTTCTAGCTCAACTGGCTCCCTTCCGAGCCGTATTAGCTCCTCTTCCTACTCAATTGGCTCCTCTCCCGTCCCAACAAGCTCCACTGTCTGGCCGGCCGAGCTCGGATGTGGTTAGTTTGGACCACTCAGCGGCGGCCGATCGGCCTCAGACCGGCGCGGGGCTCGTCCGTCCGTTCGGGAGCACCGAGCGCCGTACGACGCAATAGCCCTCCTCCCGCCGCCGGCGCCGCGGGTCGGGGGGACCCGGGGGTGTGTCGTTCCGGGGGTGTGCCCTCTCCGTGTATACGGATCTGTGTACTGGCGCCAGTCAGCTGCTCGGGACTGTGCCGCCGCTGTGGTATCGAGATATCGTGCTGTCTGGTACGGTACTGCGTATTGCGGCGGGAGCAGTGGGCTCGACCGCTGAATGGGCGCTGATGCGACCATGCACCCAGTGACGCTGCGCCTTACTGCCTTATTTGGAGGCATATGGTCAACCCAGGAAATCTAGAATTCCAAAATAGTAAACAGCCGAGGAAAAATCAGCGCAGCAAATACCCTATTATTTTAATGCCTCATTTATTTTGTCTGAATTTGGTGTGCACTGCTAGGCCGTTGTTTAGGGTGCGTCACCCCGGTGCCTCTATCCGTGACTGACGGTCGTGTAACGGCGCCATACTGCCACTCCCCGCCCGTGCCACTGGGCCATTTTCCCTCATTGTCTGTCACCATTTATTTAGCTCGTTTAAGTCATCAACAGAACAAATAGTTTCACCGCACGAAAACCCTGTTCACACCCATTGTTTATATAACTACCGTACGGCCCCTTCCTTTATGTCGAACGGTCCAATTTGCCCTGTGATCGTCCGACCCGTTAGCGCAGTCTGTGTCACTCTGTGACCCGACCTTGTGACCTGACCTCGTGACCCGGTGTGTTCGGCAGGTTCCACTTTCCGTACGGCCGCCCGGAGAGCCGTGACAAGGTGGAGGCTCAGCTGCAGCGGATTCAGCAGGCGTTCAACTCGTACCCCGGCGGCCAGGTGCCCAAGGACAAATTCGCCGCCATCGCAAAGGTGAGATTTCACTCGCTGCTCAACGAAACACTGCTTGCCGTCTGAAGGGGAGGGGTCGATAGAAGGTTTCATGGGAAAGTTTTGTAGTTGGTGCTCTGGGTATTAGGGCTGCGGTTGGAAACGTGCTTTCTTTCTCCGGAGTTTTGTGCATGAATTGCACGAAGCGGTGTCACTTTATGCTTCCGATGCTATGACGTGTCTGGTGCTTCGTCACTGTTGATTTTCCGTGGTTTTCCTCGTCCGGTGGACACTGACTCGCCCATGGAAACGGTACGAACGGGCACCAATCGTGAGGCTAAAATGTCAAGGACTGGACTGACGCCTGTGAATGGCAGCGCTAAGTCTTGTTCGTGCAGAGTCGGTGACCGCCTGAGTGGGTGGCCGGAGGGCCGTGTCACCCGAGCCGCCGGTCACCTGATCTTACCGTTCGTCACCGCTGGGTGGCTAACGTTCCCGCTCGCTCGTGCCGTGGCCCGGCGGCCCGTGCCAGTGACAGACGGCTGCTGGGTCCCGAACTGACGGCAGCGGCCGCACGGCGACGCCGCCCCATCAGATGCATAGTGAGCGCCCGCCGCGCGGCGCCCTGGCCTGACCTTGGTCGGTGCCGGGCTGTGCCGGATGGTTGCCGAGCAGTTCGTGATCATCCCACCGCCTGCATATGGACAAACATTGAGCTGAAGGGTAGCAGTCGATCGGAATCGACAGCGCGCGGTGCAGTATTTATTTTAGTGGTAGCAGGCGCGCGGTGTTTATTTATCGACAGATATCGACAGCCCCAAGGTCAAGGGCTGTCAGCTGACCTCTCAGCACCTTGTTCGGCTCCTCGCGTGACCAGCTGGTGTGGTCTACCATGCTCTGCACTCTGCTATTCACGTGACCTGCCGAGCTGCTGTTGTGGTCACGCAGCGGTTTTCCCGCTGTCCGTGACAGTTGCGGTGGCCTCTGTTGGGTGCAGCTCTCGCTCGGGTGATCGGAGGATTTGTCGGGTTTGGGGTGGGCTACCACGACAGCGGCGCAGGGTGGCGTGCGGTACCGTCCTAAGCGCCGGACGCGGCGGCCCAATCTCGGCTCTCGGTGTCTGAGGGGCTGAGTGGTTTTAGCAGGCATCGGACGCTGAGTGGCTTTAACGGGTATCAGACTGTGGATAACCCCCAGCCGCGTCACGGAAGGAGCTCCGGCCTCTCCGAGGCTGTTTTCATCTCGATCCCAAGAGCTTGTTCCCAACGACCCCGACTGCCTCTGTGAAGCTGCTTTGTTCTCTCAGCGACCAGCGGATGAGCGTTACCAAGCGGCGAAGGCTCTTTGTTTTGTCAGTACTTCGTAAGCGACTCCTATGTTGCCAATCAGGCGAACTGCTGCATTGTTTTCCGGCCAGCTGGGTCTGTTCGCCGTGTCATTCCCGGAGCGGCGTCTATCATGTTCGGTCGATGTCTGAGCAGCTCTGTCGGCGGCAAGAGAGAGCCGTTCTCAGAAACTCCGCCTGTCTCCGGGCCGGCAGACAGCGGCGGAGATGCTGCGCGGGATAACTCGTCACTGTTGTCGCGTGGAGACACGGCACGGGGAGGGGCACTGGCGACTCACCTGGTCTGCCGGCTGGGCTGTGATGTCTGCACTGAGCGGGGAGCTCATTGTTGCATCAGAAAGATGAGACACGCTGGCTGGTAAGGTGAATAGGAATGCTTAAGAAGTGCAGAACGGCTGAATGAAAAGCAATGAGGCGCATAGGCGGCGTTGATTTATGGACCGGCAGTTCTGCTCTGCCAGCGGACACATGTCTTTGGACGTCTGTCTGTCTCAGACACGCGTATAAACCGCACGCTGCGACTGTGCAATGCGTCTTTCTCAGACACACGCACATACCTCTCGCCGCGCACCTTGCGCCGTGGCCGGGAGAAAGGAGCTCTGCGCCGGCTCCCGATTTGGCCGGGCGTGTGCGGCCGTCCGCCGTTTGCCGTGATGGATGCCTGGTGTCGGGGTGAGAGTAGACGCACCGCAGCCGGGCCGGGCACCGCATTACAAACGGACGGCAGATGAATAACCCATGACACAGTGAGAGAGACGGCGGTGTGACTGAGGGGCGCGCCCGGCGCCTCTGCAGGGCCTCCGCAGCCGGACGGACTCTCCAAGCAGAGCGGCGGGAGCTGTCTGTGATATGGCTCAGGTAACGCCCAGTGACGGTTTTCCCTAGCGGTGGTGCGTGCGTGGCTGGATCTGATCAGCCCACCCCGGTCTCGTCACGAGTTGAACCCATGTGGATCACACCTGTCGATCGGCAGCGGTCGCTGCAGCTCGGCTTAAAGTTGCCATAGCTGACGAGGACGGTCGGCAGCCCGGATTACAGGCGGAGTTTTTCGTCTGCGGGCGAACCTTTGTGTTGGCTCGTGAAAACCTCTGAGATTTGTGGTTGACGGAAGTCTGTGACAAAAGCAGCCGTTGTTTTCCTGGCTCGGAGCCGCCGGTATCTGGCAGTCAGTCGCCGTGGCTCGGGTTTTGTGAGGCTGTCGCGACATATCGTCTGGCTGCGTCGATCTGTCGATCGCTCGGTGACAGTGTCCTCCCACACACCACGCCGCCGCCGCCAGAGCGTCACGCTCGCCGCAGACACAGCGCCACACTCGCCGCAGACGACCGGCCGCCAAATGCGGCACGATCGGCGCCAGCCGCGCCAAATACGTCGACGGGCCGGAGCTGGACTGGCCGAATGGGGACGGGATGCGACCGGTCACCGACGTGGCTTGTGTTGTCCAGTGTTGCTACCGTGTGATATTGACTGCAGGGGCTTGTTCAACGGTCTTTGACAGGAGACATGAGGGCTTAGCATTCCAATCAGTGATTAGCATTCTGTCATGTTTCTGATCTTCTTTGCGATGTCCTTTTCAGGTGTTCATTAGTTCCGCGGTCATCCATCCGAGACCCGTGCCTTATCTCCGCGGGTGCGACTCGCCGCCAGTTTTTGTTGCTGACCGGAACTCTCTCCAGCCAGTCGGCACGCCATCCAGCGCCGCTCCCTCCCTCTCCTCGGGAGATCCCTGAGATCCCGTGTCTCGGGGTGTCGGTTGATTAGCCGTCTGTTCGGCCGAGCACGCGGCGCCAGTCGGCCGCGCGGTGTCCATCTCCGGCTCCGGCTCTATCAGTCGGCCGTTTTTGCTGCCGTGCCAATCGTGTTCTCCGGTACTTCCTGCTGGTCGACACGCCAGCGTCGCTGAGGGGACCACCGGACCCGGAGGGGGGGGGGGGGGCGCCGCTGACGCTGATCACAGACGCTGATCAGCTCGGCGCCCCAGCGCCAGGTGCCGCCGTTTAGGGAATTACTCGGCGCTAACCACCGCACGCCGCCGGCAGCGTGCATGCGAAGGTGAACAACAAAGGCAGACCTTGACATGACTGCCGGCGTGGCCCTTCACAGAGGGATAATCGGCCGACGAGCGCAACACCTCGCGGCCCAGCAACAGCGGCTCCGCGGCCGGCGCCGCCGCGGGTGACGCATGCGAACTTCATACCGCTATCTACCGCCGCGTCACATGATAAACACGCCCGCCAGACTGGGCATGGGCGACATTAATCGCCGCTGTGCCGTTTTTATTTGGGCGATGGTCCGATTTGGTCGGCCGGATGGGCGTTTGTTGCTGGAGGAGGCTAACAATGCGGGCGTAGCCTCAGTGAGCGTGGTGGGCCGCTCGCGGTGGGTCGGGCGGTGGGGCATTGTTCGGTGCCATCGCTGATCAGGCGTCCACCCGCGCACCGAGTACTCAGGAGTGTCCGCCCACGCACTCGGAGTGTCGGGTCTGTGCTGTGAGTACTCACTCAGGAGTGTCAGTTACCGCGGCGGCCGCTACCTCGCTCCTCCCGCCCGTGTGTGTCTCGCACCCCGCCCCGTCTGACTCGACCCGTCTCCCCCGTCCGCAGGCCTGTGAGCTGCCGCTCTACTGGAAGGTGCCGCTGTTCCTGGCCGCCGGCGGCGAGAAGACGGGACACGTCACCGCCGCCGCCTTCCTCGACTTCTGGAAGAGGTGAGTGACGCCCTGCTCTACCGTCCGTGTACCTCTACCGTCTCGCTGGGCAGCTCTACCGTCCCGGGTAATGGGGGTCGACCGGGCCGCTCGCTCACCCACTCCCACCAACTCAGCGCCGCCGCTGGCCAAGGAAATACCGGGCTGAGGTGCGGACAAAAACCGGGTCAGGGCCGGCAGCGGCACCCCGCCCGGCGTGCACAACAGGTCACGTGACCCTCACGGCGCGCCGCCGGATGACGCCGGCCGGCGCCAAAAAGCGGCCGGCGCGCGCGGCGGACCGGCGGTTCCGCGTGCCGGGCTGCCCCCCGGGGGGTCACTGATCACCTCCCGGGCCGGGCCGGGGTGCGGCTCGGCTCAAGGTGACGCCGGCCGTTGGTGGCAGAGTCTGACGGTTGGATACGATTAGGACCAACGTCCGCCGCCCCCGCACTGCTCTGCCGTGGTGGGAACCAGCCGGCCTGCCTCACGGTGTGAACGCTTTGCGGTCGGGGCGAACGGTCGGGGAACCGCTGCGGTCGCCGCTCCCAGGGCGGGGCGGGCGGTAACGTAACCGCAGGGGTCGGGCGGTGCCCGTGACATTTAGTGGGGTAACGAGCGACTAAACTGTTTCACAAAACGCTACCACAACGGCACTTATACATTGTAGCAGCATTCATGAAGGGCTTTACTTTGTTGGGTTTTCAACACCTACGTATATGCTGTTTAATCACAAGTACTTCCCTCTCTAGCAGGGTGTAGTATTATGACCTTGTGTGACCCGCTCTGACCCCCTCTCTCCGTCAGACTGCTGGCCACGTCTCACGACCAGGCGTCTCGGTTCGTGCGCGTGCTGACTGCCGGTCAGCGCACCCACCTGGTGCCCGAGGACCTGGTGCCGCTGGTGCAGGACGTGGTCGAGACGCACCCGGGCCTCAACTTCCTCAAAGAGGCCATCGAGTTTCACAGCCGATACGTGCACACGGTAAGATGATGAGACAGACGGTGGGAAGTTGAAGAGGACGGGTTTGGATCGACTGGATACTGTAGAGAGTGGTTGTTGGGCAGGGTTGGAGACTGAAGGGGGCCGGTAGAGTGTGGTTGGCTGGGGTCTGGGCCCATGTTGTTTATGCTGTTGTGCCGAGGTGGGTGGCCGGGGATCAGCCCCGACATGCCGGGGCTAATTCAGGCCCTGCTGTCAGCGTTCTTATGGCATTTGTAGCATGGGTGTGTTTTAAACTGTCTGATGTAACAGACGTTATGTAACAGTCCTATAAACAACACCTCGGATTTGAAATAATAAGGCGAGGGGCTTGGCTCTGGTGTTTTACCAAGAGCGGTGACCCGGGTTCGTTGGGTATTTTCCATTTCCGTCTGCCCCCGTCCGTTTGCCCTCCGTCCTCCGGTGGTGTGAGTGGAGCTACTTTGGGGGCGTGTCGTGTCTTACTGTCTCTGTGAGCTCCAACAGTCCGGGTGTACGGGAAGGGCTGGCCAACTGAGACGGACAGATCGTGTAGCTTGGGGGTGTGTCCTGTACCGGGCGACTTCTCTAAACCCCTGGAGAGATGGGTACACGGGCCCGGGTGTGTGGTGAGGTGCTCCTCCGCCCACCCTCCCCGCGGCCGGACACGGTCCCCAATCCAGCCTCCCATCCATCCCCCTCCTACACACCCCGCGTGCAGCCAGTCCTCTGAGTCTCTCACGAAAGGACCTCCAGTGAGATGACCCATGTAACCTTAACCACCGCGAACAGAGTATCGCCTGGCACAGCCGGGTCTACACCGTGATTATCACATTTACTACCTGTAATTAGTCGTCAATCTTCATAAGTTCCCGGTGATTATCGGCTGAGTATCGCCTGTTCCGAGACGGTGCGGACGTATGGTGCCGAGATATTCAGCCCTGGGGATGATGGAATGTTTTAGAGACTGTGCTGCTAAGTGTTAAATGCTAACCTTGTGAATCCCGGCTCTATAAATTCGTGAGTGTGTGAAGTCCACGTTCGCCTCTGCGACCTGATGTGCTAAGCGTGGATGGGCGGTGTTGTAACGCTGTGACTGTATGCGTCTCCAGGTGATAGCGCGTATTTTCTACTGCGTCAATCGGTCGTGGAGCGGCCGGATCACAGTGGCCGAGCTGCGCCGCTCCAACCTGCTCAAAACCATCCAGCTGCTCGAACAGGAGGAGGACATTAACCAGGTATGTGCGGCACCGGCGACCAGACAGATGCGCTTATCGGGGAGATAGACAAACCCTGGGACAGTCGGGAGACCAACAGCCGGCAGGAGACTACCTGACAGCGGCGGAGAACACAGATGCTCGTTACCGAAACAAACACAGACGGAGATGAGAGGACGCCGCGGGGGCCATTTATCATCGGCCCGCCCCGGTCCCGCCTGTGTTACCAGACCGGCCCTGTGCGTCCCACGGCGGCTGTGTGATCTCCCTGTCTCACGGCCTTGATCCGACACCGAACACATGGGGCGGCCGGGCCCTGGCGAAACTGTAGCACTGTGTCGGCCTGACGAAACCACGCCGCACCTGCTGTGCGCACTCGCGCCGTCTTGTGCAATAGGATGACTAGGAGAGCACAGATTGGATTGGGCTCCTGGTCTGCTGTGATGCGATTAGTTCAGGTCGTGGAGTTCAGACATCTGCTGCGGATTAGGGATGTGTTTAGCAATATGGCATTAGATTTGGTGTGGTGTGTATTTTCCGCAGCTCTGTGGTATATCTTATCGTCAGTACGAGTCGTTTGCTGATGGTGTGGATCATATCAGTGAAAATCGGCTATAAAAACCGGCACATATGTCAACGAAAATTCAGCTAAAACACGTAGATTACATCTATCAGCTCCATCTTATCTACCCACACCCGCCAATATTTGTTTTATTCTGACGGCGTCTGTCGCGTTTCAGATCACCGACTATTTCTCCTACGAGCATTTCTACGTGATCTACTGCAAGTTCTGGGAGCTGGACAAAGATCACGATCTTCTGATCGACAAATCGGACGTGGCTCGTCACAATGATCATGGTGAGTGTGACACACACGCTGTGTGCTGTGTGTGATGTGTATCTGTTCCGCCGCGTGTCTGTCTGTCTGTTGTGTGTATCGGCGCAGTGTTTGCCCCTGTTGTGGCCATCTGGCGCCGGCGCGGCCCTGACCTTGTGGCGCTGACAGGAGCCGGTCGGCCGGCGGGAGCTGCGATTGGAGCGCTCACAGAGGCCCAGGTGCCGATTGATGGCTGTTCCCCGGATGTACTGACCTTGGCACGGGGAGGCCTGGGTGGTGGGGAGGTGTGGGTGGGTGGCCTGACCTGGGATAGGTGGTAGTCCTAACTGGACGGAGGACTGTCTGCCCATACTGGATTCATGAATCTCACATTGGAACTTCCCTGGCCAAAGACTCAGATGGCGTATCGGTCCCCACGGAGACAGGTTTTCCCTCAGACACTCTGTCCCAATCTGGACTCTCCCAGGACCTGTCGATTCCACCAGCCTCAGACTCTGGACTTTCCCTCACTCTGTCAGCCTCCGCTGGACTCCGAACTCCCTCAAACTCACTGTCAAGACTCCCTGGACGGCTACTCTCTCTCTCTCCGCCGCTCGGCCCGATGTAGATAGCCTTACCGGGATGCTGTCCTCGATAGCGGCAAATCAAAATTCTAACAGCGCAGTCGGTACACGTGTATTGTATCGGGTGGTTTCTGCGTGGACATAGGCTTTTACTACATACCTGGCGGCCGGGCAGTCGTGGAGACTGCCTAGTGACGGCTTCAGAATTGTCGTAAGTCTTACGACTTATGAGAGACTTCATTGCGAAACGTCAGTATTCGTTTACTTTCCACCGGCTCTTTGATGACTAAGCCGTCTAACTATCCCTCATGTCTTTTTCAGCCGTCTCGTCCCGCATCATCGACCGCATCTTCAGCGGCGCGGTGACGCGCGGCAGTGCCCGGAAGCAGGAGAAGATGACCTACATGGAGTTTGTGTGGTTCCTGCTCTCCGAGGAGGACAAGAAACACCCGACCGCCATCGAATACTGGTTCAGGTGAGGAGACTTTATGACACTTCAGCAAAGAAAGGCAAGGGAATGTCGGACAGAGTGTAGGAGTTAAGAGTGAGAGTCTGTGCGTGAGGGGGCCACGGAAATCACTCCGGACTGACTGACGGTCTGTCTCGTGCGTGTGAGATCGCGTGATCTCGCCGGAAGGGCCGGTACTTACATACCCGCACGTACGCGGGCTCATAATATGCACATTGCACGCACGCTCGTACGGTGCTGTCTACCCTGAGTGGACCATCGAGCGCTTGGTTCCGTCCCCGGCCCGTTCACCGCTGCGCTCTTCGGTGCAGAAGTCAGGGTCTGGGCCCCAGAGCGTTATCATGCTTCATCCCCGGTCGCTAGTGAAGCGTGACCCTCTAAGACCCGATCACCCTACCGACACCCCACCGCTCTGGCCAGTCGGAAGCGATGTTGTCTATGGCGTCTGCACGCGCGCCGCCACACGTGCGCCCGCCAAGGCCGACCGATCGCCTCGGTCGGCCGGAGGAGCGCCGGCCGGTCGATTTGGGGTCTATCTGACCGCCGGCCGGTCGATTTGGGGTCTATCTGACCGGCGCCAGTCACGCAGTGTGTCTATGACCGGAGCCCGCCAATAGCTCAGCGCTGCGCCGCGACTATCGGCACCCGGCGTGCTGTGCTGTGCTGTGCTGGTCTGACCATCTCAGCGCCTTGTTTGGTCAGCGCTGGTCCCTCTCGGGCCAGCGTCCGAACCCTGTGTCGGTCGGATGGCTCTCCGTTCTTGGCGCTGTCTCTGACGTGTGTGCTGATGTGGTATCGCCGTTTAAGGGGCGACTCTCTACCCCACCGCGGTTCTTGTGGCTGGTTTGATCCACCGCTGGTGTAACAGATACTTCGTGATCCAAACTGGCGCGCGGCCTGCATACTGACGATAGGGAAACACTCACCGAACCCACTGGTAGCCAGTAGTCTTCCCCTTAAGTGATTTATCACTAGACTAGCTGATGAAGAGCCCTATCGTACCTTAGTCGGCGAGTGAAGACAGTGCCCTGTCTCGTGTGTGTCGCCATGACCGCTGTGTATGAGGTGCGTGCTGTGACTTCTGTGTTTGACACCGTGACCTCTCGTTTTCAGGTGTATGGACCTGGACGGTGACGGCTACCTGTCGATGTACGAGCTGGAGTACTTTTACGAGGAGCAGCTGCAGCGGATGGAGGCGCTCGGTATCGAGGCGCTGCCCTTCGAGGACTGTCTCTGCTGGGTGAGTCGTGTCTCCGATCCCATGTGTGGGCGGTCGGGCAGAGTCCTTTGTGAGGGTTATCACTAGGCTTGGTAGCGTTTCCAGCTGGTCACCGCAATGTTTTGAGAACTGTCAGAAGTAGGTGGTGCAGTATAAGCTCGTCAAAGCTGGTTGCCGCTGGGAGCAGTCCCTAGTGGTCGGGTTAGTGTCAGTTTGTTCAGGCTGCAGCTTGCAGAAGGGTGCTCTGACCCGCCTGTTATATCCCTGGGGAGGTATAAGATAAACACCTTGTAACCCTTCTGCAGCGCCTGGGGTGGGGACTGGTCTGATACTACACAGCTGGGGGCACCCTCGGCGACGGAGACGGTCTTGAAGTAGACGGCACGTCACCCATCTGATGCTGACCCACTAGTTTTTGCCCCCTTTCGCTGCTCATACATCTCATCTGTCGCGCTAGCTTGGCATATAACATAACACCAGTGCCGACGACCTATGTGATCAACAGCAATGTCATCCTGACGCGTCTCTGGCGCTGTATTTTGCTGATTTCACTGCGGGTGTTATCGCTGTGCAGATGTATTTTCAGTTCAGTTATTCTGTAAATATTATCTGCGCATTGCACAATGTGATATTCTAAGCTGTCTGTTTTAAACAAAGGAGGATAACTTGGATAAATAAATCGGCTTCTGTGTACTGAATGCTGATACAGTGTTTGTTCCGTGGTGAGGATATTGCATAACGATGTGTTTCAATTCCTCTCGCGCAGATGCTGGACATGGTGCAGCCGGAGACGCCGGGCAAGATCGCGCTGAGCGACCTCAAACAGTGCCAGATGAGCAACATCTTCTTCGACACGTTCTTCAACCTGGAGAAGTACCTGGAGCACGACCAGCGAGACCCGTTCGCTCTGCAGCGGGACGGAGAGCCGGGACAGACGGTAAGTCCTCGCCGCCGGGGCGGTCCGCGGGGTAGGGTAAGGGCGGGTAAGAGTACGCGGGCGATAAGAGTACGCATCAGCTGTTTCGGTTGCTTAGCAACGCGGGTTTGTCGAGTTCATGAAGTGACATGAAGCCGCCAGTGCGTGCATGTCACCAACGGAACGTGGGCGTTGTGCGGCGACGCTGTTGAGTTTAAGGCGATGAATATTATTTTCGAGCGTTATGATATTATTATGATATGGTACAATACTTTTGATACTTGGCAGTTGAGTTAAGGTACATTTCCGTGATTGTTGTGGGAAACTTGTGAGGTTATCTGGGGAAATACTGTACAGTGCAATATTCTGTTTGCGAAGTTTTGTACAACGTTTCGGGGTTGTTTTGTGCGCGAATTACATGTACGGTAAGAGGACGCACTGTTCAGGAGGGTAAGAGTACGCAGAATTATACATTAAATCGAATATACAGAAATATAGAATTATTAATCTATCGCTCAATGACGTTTGTTTTGTAGGTATATCATCAGTGGAGCACTGTGATGCAGATGCGTACCCGAAATTCTTCCAAATACGAGCTATTCCCCTTTTTGAATGTGCATTTTTTTAAGAAACACACGACATAATTATTTCCTGATTTATAGACTTGAAAGATTTATTTTATGTTTTTCTTTTAGGATACTAGAATTAACTTAAATGCCTTCTGAGTTTGAAGTTAAGCATTTGGACAGTGCAAGCTGCATAGGTGTGTGTTCATATGCTTGCGTACTCCACCCGCCTGGCGTGCGTACTCTTACACACCCCATACGGTAAGAGTACGCAAGTGCAACGGTTCAGAAAATGTCAGTTTTAGACCACTTCCATTTACGCTGAAGGATCGTTGCCCCATGGGTTGATGGCTAATTCAATGAACTTTAATATTCCCTATTTGCGATTTCTTTCCTTCAAATATTAAACAAATGAGAGCAAGAAATCCACTAAGTGCGTACTCTTATACGACTTCACCCTATTATTTGACAGATACGGTTAACTGGTAGGACTGGGTTATGTCCGCGGTGGACATGACCCTTTGTTATCGGCCGGTGGGGGTTTGAATGGCCGCCTGGTCGGCCTGGCCTTGGTCAGCGCTCTGTTGGTGTGACCCGGGCTGACAGCCCGTCCCGAGGGACCGGGCGGGATGTGCGCTGTGTGTCCGCCGGTCCTGTGCCGGTGTTTTGTGGGCTGTTTGTGACACGGAGGTCAGACACACCCCCTGCGTGCCGGCTGGCGTTAGCTCTCCCCCGCCGTCTGACGTTAGTTCTCTCTCCCGCCGCCAGATGTCGGACTGGGACCGGTTCGCTGCCGAGGAGTACGAGCTGCTGGTGGCGGAGGAGGGCGCCGCCGAACAGGATCCCGAATTGTGAGTACACGCGCCCCGAATACGGAGGGATAAAACGTGCTGCAACGCGCCGGCGTGCTGCCTTTACAGGAGAGACCGCAAAGCTATGAACTCATGACCAGTGTGTACTGGTATTGCGTAGGTAGTAGTTACTTTCAACTGATGTTAATCATTGTTTCTTTGTTTGGTCTTATATAATCCGATTAGACCCATTCACCTCACAAATATATTCAATTATGCGGGTTGCGATTAGTTGTAAGCGGCTTCCAGCAAAAGTAATGAGTAATTCCCGGAGATACAGCGAGGCTTTCTATAATTGTAAAATACCTGGGTTGCAGAGTTGTTGTGGAAGAGACTCAGTGATAGTGATAAGGAGTGAGTACGGATTTTACCGAGTCAGTGTGCCGTCTCCGTAATAACTCGTCCACATTTTGTTTGGTTTGTCTTCCGTTTTATTTGCCGGTGTGTTGTTTTGTTGTTTTTATTTCACGTTTTTGTTGGTGTGTTGTTTTGCTGTTTTCGTCTTACGCTAACACTTGGCGTTGTACCGCTTAGGTTTCCCTGTGTCAGTCGTTTTGTTTTCATTTCTGACAAAAAACTAAATTATGAAGTCAATTAGTCCCTTAACTGCATGAAAGCAAGGTGATCCCACCCCTAAACTGAATGCCGAATGGATCGGTCTTCTAACAGCTGCCACAGTCCTTGTGGTCACGCTTTCAGCCAGTGTGAGACGCGTGCTAGTCCCGCCTAGTCCCATGTGTTTAAAGCTGTCGCACTCGAAACTGTTTATTGTATCTGTGAATCACCCACCTCGTGACTATGACTCAGTACTCGGTGCCATACTTTCAAAATATGCCGTTCTCCATCGTTGATCATTGGCGACTTGAGCATTACATAAGTGTGCAGTGTGCGGTCCTTAGTTTCTGGTGGCACTGCCGAGTGCTTGTTCTAGGCAGTGTCGTGTGTGGCTGTGTATCAATATTGTCAAAAAAAAAAAAAATTGTCTCGCACCTCCGCTGCTGGCTTGTGGTGGCGCCGTCCGTTCTATAGCAGTGATCCTACTATATGTACTGACGACCTGGTATGAACTTCCTCTCCCTCTCCCTCACAGCTTCCCTTTAGTCCTCCCGCGCTGACCCTCCCTCCTCCCCCTCAGCCTGTACGAGGACGACCCGGAGCCGGGTACGGAGCCGCTGGAGCGTCTCTCTATCTCGGAGCCGGGCCGGCCGCAGCAGCCCGCCCGGCCGCCGCCCGACGCAGACGACGACTACGCCGAGACGGACGCCGACTACACGTACATCTCCGACTCGGCCGGCTCGCCCGTCTACGGCCAGGCTAAGGTGGTGTAACGGCCGGCGGCGACCAGCTCAACACTCGGCAGCTGCCCCCCGGCGGGGCGACAGACACTTACAGTGGCGGACGGATGCGATGCCATACAACTATTTATGTAGACTAGAGTGAGGTGTGAGTGAGAGGCGAGTGGGCGCAGGACGCCGTGTGTGATTCAGTAGAAGCGTGCCCGCGAGATGGATCAACTGACCGGAGCGAGTGCGCGCGACAGATCAATTGCGGCGTAAAGTGAGTGTGTGAGTGTAAGTGTGAGTTCTCTGGTGAGTTTGGCCACTGAGTTGTACTCGATAGCCATCGAGTTGAGCTCGATACCCGACATCGAGCTAGTCAGCTGCGTGTGCGCCAATCAATTTGCGCGCAGGTGGATTATTTGTGTTTGAAGTGTATTTCGTGATCAATTCCAATGAACTGACGAGCTGCATTCATCTGTGTACATAGCTCATGTACATATTGTCATCCGTTTGTGGTGAGATTGCCAAATATTGTAGTTTGATACCTAACAACCACATGCTTTCGATGATTAAATCTCTAATATGGGATCGGCGTTTGACTGGGTCCTGAGTGACTCGAGGCTGAAGGTATGATAAGGAATAACGGTGACGAACATCAAACATTGCGATTGAAGGGACAGATACTGAACAATCACCAATTCATGACGAATTTGTGATTGTTTAACTAGTGATACATACAGAAGGGCCTACACATTTGACACTCTAACTTCAATCGTTCTGCCCAGGATATAGATGTCTTGTCAAATAAGCGAGTGTCAAATAAGCTCGTAATACGTTGAGTCGTTGACTTGCCCACGGTTTCCGCTTCATTTGCAGAGTGTAGGCGCTGATTGGCACTGATACTGCAGAAAAACATCTGCGACAAACCGTAGCAGCGGCGCAGTGCGTCAGGCAATTTAGGCCGCGTCATTTAAACGAATTGCCCCTTCACAACGAACACCTGAAATAAACCCACACAACGGTTCCTTCAGGGTATGATAAGAAACCGCTAAGTGGGCTGAATATTTCGCCAGCTCTGTGTCTAGCAGATTGGTTGGCTGAGCCTCGGGCCACCGAGGTTACACGCACCGCGGCTATTGAAGCTGTCAGGTGTCGAACCACGCGAAAAGGGCGACTCGACTCGATCGGGAGAGCCGAACGACATCGGACAGCAATATCGATTTTTCAGCCGCCACGCGGCAGGCACAAGTGGCGGCCTGTCAATATATACGGACGACTCTGTCGGCTGGGCCGGAGGCGGCAGCCGGCACTGGGCCACGAGAGATGGTGCGGTTTTTCGAGTGGCAGCTCCGTGGTCAATGTGCCAGTTGGTCGCGTGAGAGACTCGGGAGCAGTGACAGCAGCTCGACAGAGACGGGACTCGGATGTGACCGACATCGGGAACACAGCGCCGGGTGAGTGGCGGCCGACCAGCTGGCAGTGGGATGAGGCACCGACCGCAGGGCTCTCACGGGTGTTTAATCCAGAATTGGAGGATCAAAAGCATGCGATAGCATGCTTTTGCATCCGGAAATTCCCATTGGTGGGTCGCTGAAAAAAGTTCGGCTGAACCTGTTTGTCAGTGAGTATGTGTGTGAGTTTGTCCAAGCTTTTTTGGACCTGGAGTCAAAATGGGTGGACCGATCGGGACGAAAGTGGGACCGTTTGATTCGTCTCCGGCGAGGTAAACTTTTGGTGCTGGCCTCGGTTCGCTCGGTGCTTCGTGGCACATGCTATTCCGCTTCAAAGTTTCGGTGACACGAAATTTTTTGTCAAGGCTACAGGTCAACCCGAGGTCACGGGCAAAGCCATACTGGCGGGACACATCGGTAACACCTTGAACCCGTTTCCAGGGGGGTCACCGTCTGCGAGGGGTGCAGGCTGCATGTGCTGGGGTCGAAAAACCGTTTTGACGTGAGGTCCTCTGGCTCAAAGAAATTTTAAGCTATCAACCTCAAAATCGGTTCAATGGTAGTCCCAGGCAAGGCCTCCAAAATAATGCACATTTGGTTGAGCTAAACTCTGTGGTGCATGAGCTATGCACGTGCAAGCCGATTGCACCCCTTCGTACGTTGCCACGCCTGCAGGGTAAACGGCAGCTCTAACTGGTTCAAAACTTGCAGGTCATAAGAAGAATACATTTGATCACGACATTCCGGCGAGATAATATCCGAGGGGTGCAAGCTGCGCGTGCGGGGGGTGGATAACGGTTTTGACGAGGGATCCTCTGATCCCGGGAAGCGTCGATCTAGCGACACAAAAGTCGGTACACTGATAGAACTAGACACACGCTACATGATGTTATGAAAATGACTGCACTGGGGTGCCTGGGACATGAACTATGCACGTGCAGTTAATTAATGAAGTCATTGGGCTATGGATCCTCCAATTCTGGCCCAAGGCAACGCACGAGCGCTGCCGGCATCTAGTTAATTATAGGACGTAAATGAACAACGTAGTTCTGGCAGTTGGCACCACTGCTCTTTAGTGACAAGGGTTCAGACTCATTAAATTTTGCCTGTTGTCCTAAACGGTTCTGATTAAGATTTCAAAAGCAGGGCAACAACGTTGCACACTGAAAGGCAAAAGCAATGACGTTTCAATCATTTCTTATAGGTACGGTACGTACGCAAACCAGATTCAAGTATTTCCAATTCGATAATGCCCCTTTTCTATGACAATATGACACGAATAATTCGAAATGCTTCAAGTGCATGTTTCCGTCTCAAATTTTATGCACTTCAATCGGCCTGTTTGTTGACCGAACACCTATCACGTCGCCTGAGCTACCGAGCGACGGCTTAGAGCGCGATACGGCGCACGGGCGCCGATACGGTATCTGAGGGGGCGGGCCCGGCGCCTCCGGCAGGGGGATGAGCGGCTGGCTCGGCTGCTGCGAGTGTCTGCAGCGGCGCGCCATGGCTCCGGCGCGGCGGCACGGCGCCGCCTTGCCGGCCGCGCCGCCGCCGCCGCAGCACGGACACCACAACGCCGCCTTTCTGGGGGACGAGGAGGTGACCTCGCCGCCGCCGCCGCCGGACCAGCAGCCTCAGCAGCAGCCTCAGCAGCAGCCTCAGCAGTCTCAGCAGCTCGGCGGAGTCACTGCAGAGTCGGCGAGCGAACCACCCTCACAGTCACCGACCGCAGAGCAGTATCGAGTCGTCCGACAACTGGTAAGCTAACCGTGTCATCTCCCTTGGGCATATTCAAAGGGTTACGGTAGCTGAGGCACGCCAGCCGAGGGACCTTAACGCTTCTTGTTGCTAAGTTGACGGTGGCCGGTCAATAGATATGACTATCTGGATATGTAAACAAGTGTTCAGAAATGAGGAGGTGCATAAATGCAAGCGCATTGTTCATTCATGTGACCACTGGACCAGTGTCATGTTTAATTTGACAGGGGTGAGGTATGCAGCTCAATGTCTCCTTTCCGGGAAACTGGGCGTTGTCCGTGCGTTTGTAACCTGTCTAACAGCGCTGTATCTGTCCCTCCGCCGCAGGTTCGGCCCCAGTTCCGGGAGATCTGCGACCTGCGGGACCAGCGGCCCGGCCTAGTCCGTGGCTCCACCAAACAGACCCGCCTCAGCCGGTCTCCGAACGGCTCACGGTCTCCTCATGGCCCGGCCGCCTGGCTCGGTTTCGGCTCCTCCGAGGATCGTCCGCCGGCGGCCGTCGGTTCGGGACCGTTCCTACCGAATCACCGTGATTTAGACACGGAATGGCCGACCGAGGAGCTCGTGGTGCTGGACCCGCAGCGGCGCGTCAGCCTCCTGGATAACATCCCCGAGACGAGTGAGACTAACGTGACTGGCGAGGGAGCAACGACTGAGGGCGAGACGCGGCCAGACGGCGGCCCGGGGGGCGCGTGTGAGCGGTCTAAGTCCGTACCGCCGGGTCACTCGGTGAGATGGGAGGACGATGTCGTCCCGGCGGGATCTCCCAGCGCCGACCGGACCGCGAGTCCCTCGGTCAGTCCTCAGAGACCAGCTCGGACCCGCGCCGCTTCTCTGGGCACGCCGCGCCGGCTGACGTTCGCCAGGTTCCGGCGGCGCTCCTCCCAGCGGCGACAGTCGTCGGACAGCGGCGGAGCACCGACAGGCCGAGAGCAGAGCCGAGAGCGCAGCTGGCTGCGGCGGCTGTCCCGGGGCAGACCGAGCACCGCTCTGCGGGCCGATCAGCCGCCCGAACAGCCCTCAGAGTCAGCGGCACAGACCGCCGGCACCGACCGCAGTCAGGCCGCCCGACACTGGGACCTGGTGAGGACCAACTTCGACCTGGACGCGCCGCTCACAGAGCACTGGGGCTTCCTGGAGTCGGTGGTGACCGAGTTTGAGAAGGTGGACGCCAAAACGTACACGGAGCACCTGCACGAGCAGTCGCCGATCAGCAGTTCGTCCAGTGAGGAGGAGGTGCCGGACGCGCTGGAGGCGCAGCTCCTGCTGAAGCTCGCCCAGGCTGAGAAGATTCGGCCCAGGAAAGTGTCCGTGTCCCGGCGGTGTGTTCAGAACGAGCGGAGAAGACGCAGATCGGAGCAGATGGCCTCGTCCGGAGAAGAACCAGCCAGCGGGGCCGAGCATGGCGAAGAGTGTCAGAAGGAGGGTAATAAGGACCAAGAGCGTGCTGTGGTATCTGAGGACTTTCCTGTTCCGCCAAAGGCAGAAACTGAGGAGAAAGTGTCTGTTCCACCAGTAACGGAGGCATCAGAAGACCCAGTGAAGCCCTGTTCCGAAAGGGCAGCGAAACCCAGTGCAGAGGAGCCCCGTGTGCCCCCGCTTATCTCTGAGGTCGACCCCAGCGCCGATAGACAGTCATCTCCGACCCAGCGGGCCTCCAGCTGCCCTCCGCCTCGCGTGGAGCCGCCCGCGCCGCCCGCCGCCGACCGCCGGCGGCGCGGCTCCCTGCTCAGCCGCCTGCTGGGTCTGCCGACCGGTCAGTCGCGGCGTCCCTCGCTACCGGCACCCGTCAAACCACCGCCCGCCGCCGCTCCTCCTCCGTCTGAGGAGGACCATGAGGTTCACCATCCGACCTGGTTTGAGCGCACCGCCGGCCCGGAGGCAGCTGCCGGCCCGACGGCCGACCGGCGAGCGCTCAGTCGCCGCCGAGCCACCGTGGCTGAGGTATCTCTCAAAGAGTTCCTACACGAGGTGGATGAGCGCGCCCAGCACCTCCGAGACGAGGAGTTCTGCGGCGCCGACCCGTACGAGGTGTTAGCACCCGAACAGAAAGCCGCGGATGATGACCACGTAGTGCCGCTGCTGAATACCTCCCGCTGCGTGAAGTTGATGCTGGAGGACGCGGAGAGGAGGCTGGAGAGGGAGTACGGTACCGGCGGGTCGAGGTCGCCCTCTCCCAGACCGTCCCAGTGCCCGACGCCGCGCCGCTGTGCCGGGGAGGGGAGCGGAGGGACGCGGGAGGGACAGCAGGCCGGCACTAGCAGTAGTCCACCAGACAGGACCGGGTCGACGGCAGCGGGCACATCAGCGGTGGGAGGAGGAGCTGGGTCTCCAGACAGGCAGCCGAGCACATCCAGAGCAGGATCACCGGATA